CTGTCTCTCTCTCTGACAAATAAATAAATAAGATCTAAAAAAAAAAAAAGAAAGAAAGAAAAGAAATGGGCAGAAGACATGAACAGACAATTCTCCAAAGAAGACATACAAATGACTAACAGACACATGAAAAAATGTTCAACATCACTAACCATCAGATAAATACAAATCAAAACCACAATGAGATATCACCTTATACCAGTCAGAATGGCAAAAGTTAACAAAACAGGAAACAACAAATGTTGGCAAGGAAGTGAAGAAAGGGGAACCCTCTTACACTGTTGGTGGGAATGCAAGCTGGTACAGCCACTCTGGAAAAGAGTATGGAGGTTCCTCGAGATGTTAAAAATAGAGCTACCTATTACCCAGCAATTGCACTACTACGTATTTACCCCAAAGATACAGATATAGTGAAATGAAGGGGCATGTGCACCCCAATGTATCTATCAGCAGTATCCACAATAGCCAAACTGTGGAAAGATCTAAGATGTCCTTCAACAGATGAATAGGTAAAGAAGATGTGGTTCATATATGCAATGGAATAGTACTCAGCCATCAGAAAGGATGAATACTTACCATCTGCATCAACATGGATGGAACTGGAGGGGATTATGTTAAGTGAAATAAGTCAAGCAGAGAAAGATAATTATCATATGGTTTCACTCATATGTGGAACATAAGGAATAGTGCAGAGGACCATAGGGGAAAGGAGGGAAAATTGAATGGGAAGAAATCAGAGAGGGAGACAAACCATGAAGAGACTCTGGACTCTGGGAAACAAACTGAGGGTTACAGAAAGGAAGGCAGTAAGCAGATGGGGTAACTGGGTGATGGGTATTAAGGAGGGCACGTGTTGTGATGAGCACTGGGTGTTATACACAACTAACGAATCATTGAACACTACATCTGGAACTAATGATGTACTGTATGTTGCCTAATTGAACATAATGATATAAATAAATAAATAAGCAGAAAACTTTATCTTTTGAACAGAGAGTTTCAATCTTATACCACTGTACTTTTAAATCCCTTTATTTCAATCTTAGTTTATTATGACCACACCTAACATTCCTTTCCAAAGATTTTCCTTCACAAGTCTTCTACAACTTTCTTTTGCATTCAGATTTTGTCCCAATCCATTTCTCTTCAAACAACCATCTTATTTAGGACAGAAGTACCTTCTTTTACCTTCGACAAAAATACATTTCCATTCCTTATATCTTTCTTACATGTCTCCTGCTTTTCTACATACAGAGTTCTTTCGTGTCATTTCCATCAGTCTTAATTACATTTAGCAGAATTTTGCACTCTTAGAAACCTTCGTCTCTAGTGAAAACTAAGTAGTAACTAATTGTGAACTGTTACACCAAAACTTTTTAGATGGCAAATTTGTGAATCAGTTAAGCACAAAGCATGTTTACCAATAGACTCAAATATCCTTAGTTTTTTGTTTGGTTTTGTCGGGGTTTTTTGCAACAAGTAGTCAAAAGCACAAACCTACATTCTGTACGTAATGCTTTAACACTTTATCCTGTTTGGGAAAGACCTAGATGTCCAATGAATTTAATCCCATTTACCGTCCAAGCAAAAGTTTAAAGTTTCAGATTATCAAAGACTTTGAAATCTTTCTTAATGATTACCATGAGAACTTTCATGAGACAGACAAAATTAACCATCATTTTAGGTCATTTTTTTAATAAGAAATTACAACAGAGATAACATGAACTTATTTGACCTTTAATAAACCTTGATAGAATAAAAGTTTCACACTTAATGTTGATAACTTTAAAGACATGTCTATCTTAATTACCAAAAAACTTAAATAAATTAGTTTTAATACTGAATTATTTTCCACCTGGATCCTCTTTTAAAAGTCTACTTGCTCCCCATTGTCAATTTTTACTGGAGATACTGGTGGAGAAATCTGTAGTGGGTGGTGTTAGGTTTAGGGTGTGCTCTTCTTTACCCCTTGATAGTGAGGGGAGAAGGGGGAGCCAATGGTGCAGGAGGCACCAAGGATGGTATAGGAACAAGCTATGCAGGCTGTACCAAGATGTTGCAGAAACAGGAGGAGGGGGACAGAGAGGCAGAGAGGCAAAGTGCTGCCAGAAGGCAGAGAAAGGGTTCCCGGTTCTAGAGCTCAGCAGCTCCAATGCTGGAGCAAAAGCCATGTTTTCCCACCAAGGGGGAAATAGGCAGTCCATGTTGGGCCATAGAAGACTAGGAATTTCCTCAAAACAAACAGAGTTTCAGCAGCTGATTGAGAATATTCCTTAAAATCCCCATCAGGAGGTAGACTAACCACAGTTGGCTCCAGTTATACCCATTAACCTAGGAAATGAATGAATGAAGGAGAAGCCCCCACATTTATTAGGAGGGACAGTGAGAGAGAAAGAGAGTCAAGAATTCCCTTTCTCTGGGAAAGACTGTGTTTCCTCCAGCAACCTAGATTTACTTGGAGGAGGCCTGTTTAGATAATTATTCAATTTTTCAGGAAGGATTTTACTAGCCAAATAGGTTCTGCAAGAGGCCTTTAGGTCTGGGTCCTGATTTAGAGCCCTGAAAGCCTGGATAGACCTAGGGTGCCTCTGTCTACTTGCCTTGTTTTCTGCAGAAGAGATCTAATTGATAGATCCGTAGCCATGCAGTGTACAGAAGATCAGCCCTTTTCTAAATTTTGCAATCCAAATTATTTTCAGTGGGTTAAGAAGACATGAAAGGAGAGTCTTTGGGGAGTGAAGAAGAAGCCCACAGAGTCCACACTCCTGAAAAAGTAGAGAAGGTCCATTACCAAAATCCCACCCCTACCCCCCACCCCCGACTCCTCGGTGGCCTCCCACAACAGGATATGTCAGAGGCTCTGTGTGTCAAAAGAGACTGGAGGCATCCCTCAAACAAAAGATTGCTATTGATCACATTCTGCCTTACAAGGAAGGCATTCCTGCCCTAAAGGGCCCCGGAAGGGATACTGGCCCCCTTCCCTTCCCCATCATGTCCCAGGCTACAGATGTTTGCCTGGTGAATGAACCAAAATACTGTGCCATCCTATGCCTCAAAGCTGCTTTATTGCCCTGCCACTTTTGATTCATGGAGAACACTAGAAAAGTTTTACAAGGGTAAATTAACCAATTTTGTAACTTGAGTAGTTAGTAGAAGACATTGATGGAAAACAGTAAAGACAGAAATCCACTGTGGCTTAAGTGACATTCCTACACATGTAGTCCATATAGCCAACTACCCTAGGAAATGGCCCCCAATTGGGTTTCAATTCCATTGGATACTGGTTTGGGGCAGCTCCCTGTGGAGTTCCCCCAGCCAGAAGTGACCAGGGATGTGGAAGGAATCACATTAGATGAATCAGGAGGAAACCTCACATGGGAGTCTTAAAATTGGCAGCTGTCCTCGGTGACTTAGGTGGCTGTCCCATGCCCAACACAGACAACTTTGTATAAGGACAGGAATAAAGAGAGGGCATCAAGTTTCTAGGTCTTATTACCATCCCGGCCAGGGTACTAACTTGCAGCCAAAAGAGAGGCTTTCTCCTCCCCATAGAGTAGCCAGGGGCTAAAGGTTTACTGCCTGAGCAATTGACATGAAAATGTTCCAGTAAAGCCAGAGAGCCCCTGAAGGGAGAGTAAAGGAAGAGAAGAGAAGGTTTTCGCCAAGTTTGCACCCAAGCTCAGAGTCCAGATGAGCAGATTCAAACCCCCAAGTTTGGATGCCAGATGATGGGGTTTTGGAATATAGGTGAGGTTTGGTGGGGTGAGGTCCAGAGCCAATGGCCAAGAAAGAATTCTTGAGATGTCTTTGGTGCAAAATGATGGTTTTATTAAAGCATGGGGACAGAACCTGTGCACAGAAAAAGTTGCTGCACCAGGGTTGTGAGGAATGGCTGATTATATACTTGGGAGTTGGGGGAGGTAAGGAAAAGGGAGATTTCAAAAAGGATTTTGAAATGTTAAAGAAGACTCAAAAGGATACTAGAGGCCGTGCTATTGTCAAGTAAAGTTTTTCCCTCTAACAAGGCATTAACATTAAGACAGTTGGGTGCTTCCTGGAAGAATATCACGTATATCCCACCCAGGAGTGGGGAGGTAGGGAGTTTGCAGGGTGTCAGCTTATGCTTTGTCCTTAACTAGCCTTCTGCTCCCTCAGCAACGACACAAACCAAGAGCAGAGGCTTAACAGCTTAACCCACTGAGACACCCACATGCCCCTCAGCCAAATTCTTATTCCCTGTCCTTCAGTGTCTAAATCCACTAGCTGTTCCAAAACAGCATTATTTCTGTAATATTTCAGTATTTAGGTAAGACAAGAATGTTTTTAGTTCCCCAATGCTTTTTTTTCCCTTGATCTATGCTTTCTTACTATGCATTCCAATAGATCATGCGAGAAGTGACTCCAAGGCTACAGTGGATCATTATCCCTACTAGTACTTATATTTAAAACATTATCTGGGGGCACCTGGGTGGCTCAGTCATTGGGCTTCTGCCTTCAGCTCGGGTCATGATCCCAGGGTTCTGGGATCAAGCCCCGCATCAGGTTCCCTGCTTGGCAGGAAGCCTGCTTCCCCCACTCCCACTTGCCCTGCTTGTGTTCCCTCTCTTGCTGTGTGTGTCTCTCTATCAGATAAATAAATAAATAAATCTTTAAAAAAATAAAACATTATCTGATGAAATAGGGAAACCAATAGTAAAGATGTATGATGCATCAGTTCTCAGGGTTAGAACCTGTGTGTGAAGTACTATCAAGCAAACATAGACCATGGCTTCTAGGGAAATATGTAAAAGCCTTGAGCAGAGTTTGAAGGGATAATGAACTTTCCTCCTCCAAAGTCCAAAAGACACAGGGGTGAGGGAAGTGGCAGAAGCCTTGGGTTGCTGAATAACCTCAAAGGGCACCTGGGCCCAAACAGTTCTCCTGAGAATGCTGGTGAATGCAATCAAGATGGCCCCAGGCTGACAATTTGTGAAAGGGATCCCAAACACACACACATCAAGGTCATTACAATGCAACAGAAAGTGATTTTATTGCTGAGAACACAATGCAACAAAGCTTGGCAGAAGTTCCAAGATTAAAAATTGGGAGGCCTGGGTCTTTCTTTGCCCTCTTTCCTATTCCCTTCCTTCAAAACACACAGAGCTCCAAAGCAGAAAAGAATCCTGTTTATTTTTGTCCCAATTCTGGTCTTGCATCTTGGCCCTCTAATTCTCCCAGTCCCCTTCTTCTTTCTTCTATGGCAACAATGGAAATCAACAAAGGAAAAGAAAAGCAGAAGAGACCATAAAAGAACAAGTATCAAGTGAAAGAGGAAGTAATGGGAACCTTGGAAACCCTGGCATTTTTTTCTTAAGATGTTTATTTATTTATGGGACCATGACCTGAGCCGGAGGCAGACGCTTAAGGACTGAGCTGCCCAAGTGCCCCTGGAAATCTCAGTCTTAATCTAAGTGCACAGGAACTAGATGATAGGGAGGGTCACCCGGCTGAGGGGGGTTACAGGCAACAGTGTAGAACTGGTTCTGGGGAGTAGTACTGTAGCGGCAGTTGGGATATGTCCCTCCAGTGTGACTGCAGTAAGTCATGCCAATAATATTTGCACTCTGGTGGCAGTTATTCTGGCCATTCCTGCAGGTCCTATTGGGCAAAAGACAGGTAGCAGCCACGTTCTGGAAGGTGTCATGCAGAAAGGTGTTTTGAGGCTTGCAGCGCTGATTATAATTATTGACACGACGCATTGCCATGTTGCATTGGACAGGACCCGTACTTATATGCTGAATTGCAAACCATTGAGCCCTGGTTGGGGGTTGAGCCCAAGCACCAAGTGGATGCCCTGGCCCCCATGATCCCAGCAGCAACAGGAGAAGAGGAAAAGGTCCCGGAAGATCCAGCATCATCTCTTCTGTGTAGGAAGAGGGAAAAAAGTGAGAGAATGATAATAGTAGAGGTCATAAGAGCAAAATGATCATTCATAACCATGCCTTTTAAGATTTCATTGGTCCCTTTCTTGTTGTTTAAACCATTTTCTTTCTGATGTGAGTCTCACAATTCTAGGAAGGACCTGAAGCCCAGGGAGGAGGAATGTGAGTTAAGAAGACCTTTTCTCTGACTGGCAAATCCCATTCTTCTCTTTGTCCTGAGCTTATGCAAAGATAAACTTGTTTATTCCCTCCTCCCTTCTGGAATATTTCTCCTCCATCTATGTGACCTGGACCTTTTGGCCATCGTCATGGCTCTATTCTCCCCATCCCCCAGGCTTCTCCTCTTACCTGGTCTCCTTGCTGGGGCTCCTGTTGAGGACAGCGGCCGTGGTTAGTCCCAGGCTCAGAGGCTTTTGTCTGCTGTTCCTCT